AGCGACAACAAAAGGATATTTGTTGAATACTGTTTCAGTCAGAATTAACTGGTGTTTGACCGTAAGATCCCATTTAATCTTTACAACAGCCTACGTAAAACTCTGTCTTACTAAAGGGAAATAGTCTCCAGTAATATCATCACTCATCCATGTTGACACAGCTGATAAATGGCAACATGGGGAACTGAAGGCAGTTCTCTCTGATTTCCCAAACCACAGATTATATTGTGTTGACTTCAAGTCATTTCAAAGGAACCATATTTATAAGACAGCAGCTTTGGGACTACTTTTTTAAGAACCTGAAGAAATTTTGTAAAATCCACCACATGGTTCATACCCACAACTCAATGCATCTTCCTCCACACAAGACCCCTTGTTAGAAGGTGTTTCACACACCTCACACCTTTGTGGGGTTTTGAGCCTCCTTGAAGATTTCCCCCAAAGTCCTTCATGGGCCCTGGAGTACGCACTCCAAAGGTGGGGTGGCACCTGCTCTCATGCACTCTTCAGTAAACCACTCTTCTCAAATGGAGGATTTCCAGGGTGACAGTGAATATGCTGATCAATTTGTAATTTGCTTAACCATACAGAGTCCTCATTTAGTTAACATTTATCTCTCAATAATTACTTTGAGTCAGTCACTCCACTTAAATTCTAGCACTGTAGGGTGAACAAGGTCCTTGTCTCCATAAAACATCTGTCTCGATGAGAGGGGCAGGCAATGAACAAACAAGCAAGCAAATAAGCAGAACATAAGGTAACAAGTATATGGAAGAAAATTAAACTGACCTGGCATGGCGGTGCACAGCTGTAATTCCAGCACTCAGGAAGATCGAGGCAAGAGAATTACAAGTCTGAGTCCTGCCTGGGTAATGTAGTTAGACCCTATCTCACTATAAAGGAATAAAAAAGGCTGAGGATGTTGCTCAGTGAGAAGGCCCTAGGTTCAATCTGTAGTACCAAAGGAGGGAGGGAGGGAGAGAGAGAGGGAGGGAGGGAGGGAGGGAGGAAGGAAGGAAGGAAGGAAGGAAGGAAGGAAGGAAGGAAGGAAGGAAGGAAGGAAAGAAGGAAGGAAGGAAAGGAGAAGGGAAGGGAAAGGAAAGGAAAGGAAAAGCGAAAGTTAAACTGTTACGATGCAGTGAGTAGTTGGCTAAATACTTTAGCACTGGTCATGAGGAGAGGCCTTTCTGGGGACATGATATTTACCTGAACGACAAGAATGGCACAGATGCGCTAAGAGCTACTGTCCTTCTGAACAAACACAAGCTCCCTTTGTATACTTCAGCACTCTTCCCAATTTCCATTTCAAGCTCCTATTCATTTACAGCAAGAATTTGAAATTCTAGAATTTAGAGTTGTAAAGTCCCTAAGAGGTCTTAGGCTCATCCCATCATTTTAGAGATGAGGAAGTAAAGGTCAAGGAAAGTGAAGACAGCAGGTCACATAGCTATCATTTAGTGACTGTGCTCATAGCTCTTAGCCCAGGTATCTTCCACTAACACTGTCTATCTTTCCAGTGTGTCACTCCTCCACGCAGGATGCTCATCCTGGTGCCTGCCTCTGGACTCTGCCTGGTACCTGCTGACCCTGGAATCCACAGACACCATAAAAATCCTTCTGGATTACAAGGACCTACGAATGGCATTAGGAATCTTGAGAATGATATACTGGGGCCAAAGGAACAGCAATAGAAAAGGTGCAACCTCTCACAGTGCATTTTCTCCACATTCCAGACAAGCCCTAGAGTCCTGCCTGGCTCCTGCCCTTCCTCTCTGCCCTCAAGTGACCCCTATAGAAGATGTATAATTTTGTAGCTGCGTGGACTCAATGGACACTAAACATCTATTTTCAGAAATGTTCCCTGGCTTAACCAAGTTTATATGAAAATATTCTATTATATAAACTCACCCCCTCCCAAAATGCTTTACAAAATGATTAACCACAGACTTTCTTTAAATAGAAAGCTCCTTCATTAAATTTAAAGTATGATCTATAAAAATTCAATCTACATAAAGACTTTATTCCCTCTTCAAAAAAAAAAACAGCTATTGTATCAAGGGCAACAGCATACACATGGACTTTCAGTAGTAGATTTTAGATTTTTAGTGTGTAATGGTTCTCATTCATTCCACAAATATTTATTGAGTGGTTCTATGCAATACATTCTTCCAGGATGCTCTGAAGACACAATAACAGGAAGACAGACATAGACTCTGCCCTTTGGGAGTATGCATGCACACAATGCTAACATAAGGCAGGTATGATGAGAGCTGCAAAGGAAATGTGGACCAAAGCTACAGAGGACAAGAGAGAGACATTATATTGTAATCAGGGATCTGGGAAGAAGGCAGCAACATTTTAATTGCACATCAAAGGATGATTTGTGTAAAAATACAGTGCATTCGAGGAAAGGGAAACCACATGACATGTACAGAGGGCAGGACATACAAGGGCACACTCTCAGGACCAAAAGGAGTCCATTGTAGGAAATGACAAAGAGGCGAAGACCTGTGGAAGGTAGACCACAACCTTGAAAACAAGAATGGACAGAATGTGGCTACAATCCATAAGCCACAGAAGCTTTGAGGTGGTTCTGGGCAGGGAAAGAATATACACTTTTTTTTTCTTTTTGGTACTGGGGATTGAACTCAGGTCTTTGCACTTGAACGCAGGTGGCGGAACCACTGATCTAAATCCCCAGCACAAGAATATATATTCTTGTTTTAGGAGCTCATTCCAGCAGCTACAGGTGGGGCAGACTTGAGCTGATAAAGGCTAGTATCAGGGACAGAGGCTCATTTAAAAATTCAGTTGTTCTTGGATCATGTTTAAAACAAATAAATGAGAAATAAATTTGGGAGCCAGAAGAAAGGTAGACTTGATGAGGCAAGACATCTAAATCTACAGAGAGCATTCAGTTCTGAGTGAGACAGAGCCCACTCTTCAGATCCCAGCTGAGGAGAGTTAGTAGGACTGTTTAAGTGGTGCCTCTTTAGGGACAGTGGTGAGAAGCTTCCTGCTTGAGACAGTAATCACGAGACCACTGCATAAGAGCCATCCCAGCTGGGTGTCTTTGATCCATGCATGAAGTCTCAGTTATTAATAACTGCTCTTCTGAAGATAGGCAGAAGTGCCTGTTATACATGAGGGGCCAGAACACTTGTGAAATTATAACGTCTCCATTGCAGCAGTGAAAGCAGCTTGATTGGGATGGAGAGCAGGAGCTTGGAGAACAAGGATTTGTGAACAAATGATAACCCAGTGAGGGTAGTAAAACTTTAATCAAGGACATCAGGCACAATGTAAGCCTTATGGCTATGCCTAATGATAGCAATTACATGACAGACTGAGGTCTTTCAATTGAACAATCAGGTCCCATGGTGCACTAACTTGGGCCACACCTGCCTAGTTCACAGGTAAACAATCACTCAACTAGCTGTCCAGGGCTCTCTTTGAAAAGATAGTGAATCTTAGGGAGCTTCCCTCTGACCTCTTTTCTTGGTTACTCTCTCTAGAAATACACAGCTGGATGCTATAGTTTGGATCTTGAATATCCTGCAAAAGTCTAGGTGCTGAAGATCTGGTCCTAGCCTGTGGCAATACTTGGAGGTGACAGAATATTGAGAAGATAAAGCTTAGTGAGGGAAATTTGAAGGGGATGTGCGGCCCCAGGCCCTTCCTCTCTCTGCTTACTGACCAGGAGGTTAAGAAGTCCCCTCAGCCACATGTTCCTTATCACAGGCCCAAAGAAACAGGATACAAAATGAAACCTGCGCCTCTGTGAGCCAAAATAAACCTTTCCTCGCAAAAGTCGATCTATTTCAGGTTTTTTGTCACAGTCACAGAAAGCTGACTAACATACTAGGTTTCCTCTATAGTCAGAACAACACTGACATAGTGAAGCCTGCTCTTAGACAGCTGGCCATACAGTCCATGGACAATTACCTTAAATCAGTATCGGCAGTGTTTGCATGGAGCATGAATATCCTGAACAAGGGACCTTGAGGTAAAATAATGCAAGGAAATGATATATTAAATAAAATAAAAGACTTTGCTAGAAGACACCTAATACTAATACAGTCTGAGAATCTCTTAGAACAAGAAACAATAGATAGCATTCCCCAGTATTATTCATCTGCAAAACCATTTTTCCAGCAAAGTGTCTCAAGGGCCATGAGCCCACCAGAACAAACCGAGAAAAGCCAGTCACAACCTTAGTCTCTGTAACATTTGTGTTTGAGGATCAGCAATAAGACCTAAAGCTAGTATTTAGTTTCTGCTCACTGCGTGTCAGGAGCCTTTCCAAGTACTTTATGGGTAGTAATATATTTAATCCCCATGTCTGTAACAGGTGTACTATTATTACTAATCTCTTTTTATAGGTGAGGAAACCAAGGCACAGAGTAGTTAAAAGATTTTCCCCAAGGTCCTAAGCAGGCAAGTTGTTGAATAGAGCAGTTGGACACCCACAGAAATCAATTTCTAATGATGGAATGTCAAACTCTCTGATCAGCTGGCAATGGCGGAGCTTCTGAGCAAAGCCTTGGGTGGCAACTCTTCAAACATACTAGTAAATCTCAACCTGTCTGCTCATGGACAAGGCTGTATGGGGTCTACCTAGACACTCTGTAGAACACAGCTTCTGAACTGGAGCACAGCTTCTGAATTGTAGCACCTACTTGGTTTCTCCACCAAATTATGTCGTACTGCATACATATAACAAAGTCCATTAAAACAAAGTCCAGATTCAAAGAGCCATGAAATTATTGATAATAAATGGAACTCATAAAGAAAGCAAGCTTTGATTAACCAAAGTGGCAAGACAAGGAAGGCACAACTTGAGAACAGGTTTCTCCTTTAAAGCTTTTGATCTCTTGCTCCCTGGATCTGGTGAAGAAAACCAAAGAATGTTTTTTGTTTCTTATTTCCGGTAATATGTGTCAAAATTTTAGATTTTTTCCCTTCTACTTTGCACAAGAATTATCAAAGACGTGTCCTACCCTCTCCCACTTCCTCTCCTTGTTCAGAAGTATTATCACCAGTTTCGGGTGCATCTGGTAGCCATCTTCACTGAAGGACAGATTTCTCCCCTCAAAAGTGACATTGATCAGATACCTGTAAAGATAAAATAAAAAGAAGCTTAAACACATAAAGGAAGTATACTAAGAACAAGAAAGAGAAAGGTAAATGGAAATAAACCAGTGGAAAGACAAATACCATTAGAAAATTTGGTACTTTTTGAACATTCATTTGATTATACAAGACAGTCATTCATGTTTTTACCTAATAAAAATAGAGGGAAATAATATAATTTAAAATAAAAGTACTTGGTTTGAGTTCTTTCTATAGCTACTACTTTGAGCGAATTGTTTAGCCTTCTGAACTTCAGGGTTTTTTCCTCTCTACAGAAAGTGAGGTAAGAAAAGGACCAATTCACTAGGTTTAAATGGGATAACTGGTCAAGCACTTACCTTAGGACCTGGTGTGCAGTGAATCCCCATTAAGTGCTAACAATTATCATTCAAAAAAGGAGATGAAATAAAGGGGCAGAGTAGGTAAAAATAAGAAAAGGAAATAGGTGAGTACTAAGACACATTTCTGCTAAGAAAGGTGATTTGTCGGACCAAGGGTTGCTCTCCTTCTAGATGTGCACATATATTTTAAACTCTTATTAATCCCTTGCCCAGCCCATATGCCTAAGAGTCATCAAGTGAGTCCACTAGGAAGACTGATGCCACAGGATGCATCTGAAAACAATCATTATTGCATTATTTACAGTGAACAGAAAGTACCCTTGGAGGAGATGGAGGCATTGCACAAAGTGTTCTGGGACAGGAGCATAAACTAGCAGAAACTTTGGAGGTAACCAAAGTCAGAATAATGAAATTATCTTCTTCCTGGACACATCCTCCCCACTCTCCCCTGCTGGCTGCTGTAATGAGCAGTTCCATCACTGGGAATTCCCATAGGTATGCTCATTACAACTATATCAGTGCAACTGGCCTCTTGGTAATTAATGCCCCTTTACCATAAGGGCTCAAGCAATCAATAATGATTAGCTCCGTGTTCACTTAACACACTGCTCCAGAGCTTGGGCCTAGCACTGCTTGTAATATGTGGGTCTGCTGAACAATCAAGAGGCACCTTACAGTAGTAGAAGAGGAAGCAGCTTTAAGGTCCCTCTTTTAACTCTTCTCAGTGAGGCTTGGAGACGCCAAGTCCTGCAAGGAGCAATGTGGCTAGAATGCATCTCCTTTTGGCAATTTCAAAGATGGCAACATGAGCCCAACCCTCATAGGTTATTTCTCACTCCTAGTACTGGGACTCTTAGGCCCATCATTCCAAATGCAATCAAGAGCAAAGATGATCCCCAAAGATTAGATATCCCTACAATTGTAGATCTGAAAGACATTTATAATCAGCTAGCATGCCACTTCTTGCAGCTGACATTTCCCCTCTATAACATCACAAAACCGGTCCCCTCAGCTCATTTTGAATACTCCCACTGATGGGACATTTGTCCCCGCATCCTCAAGGTGCCATCTCATGGTCGGGCATTCCATCTTACTTAAAGCTGATACCTACTCCATTTCAATCCTCTAACACTTGTTTTCTTCGTAGATATTGTAGTCTTAGTCCAATCCTTTTTCCACATGTTTTTCAAATATTTAAAACATTTATCATGCATCTCTTATAAAACAGATTTTAATCTTTACTAAAATTCTAAACTCATTTAGTTCTATAATTTTAATTTGATGAATTAGGAAACAAGCATAGAGAGGTTAAATTATTTGTCCAAAGTGACATTACTAATTGGAAGCAGAAGTAGGATTTTAAGTAAATCTTCAGCCCAGTGTCTTTCCTACTGTATTATCCTGATTCTCACATGCAATGTGAGTTGAATACTCCCTGTTCCTTTATGTAATTGTCCTACACCACGGCTTTAAATTCCTTCCTCTCTGGACACCTCCAGTCAAGGGAGTAGAGTTCCCCTCATCCAAGACTCCATCAGCCCCTTCTCCTCTCCTGCTGCTGCTTCTCAGCTCCTACTTCTGTCCTGCTTAGTCAAGCCCATCACTAGCTGGGAGATAACATTTAGGTCTCCTGTAATCTTCCACGACTCTAACACCCAACCAAAAGCCCCGTGGGTTTCGTTCTAAGGAATATTATTACAAAACCACAGACAGACTGTTTTAAACTATGCAACTAGAATGTAAACACCCATTAATTAATTTGGAAAATATGTTCTTAGCAGGACAATACTGGTTTATTTGGAATGATTTCTTAAAATTCTCAAGGAAAGATTCTAGGACAAACAAAATAATTTAGCCCCAGACCTTTTTTGAATAAAGGAAGAGAAGAAACGACAGAGGGAATGAGGAGAGAAACGGTGAGGGCAGGAGAGAAGGAAAGGAGGAAGTGGATAACCTGGCTTAAGCACCATCTTTTCACTTGATGTGGCTCTGAGTAATTCTGACTTTATCTAAAATAAAGTGTGTTAAAATGTTTAAGAGAAAGTGTCCGCTTCAGAAGGCAGTTATAAAAAGGAAGCTTCAGAGTAATTCTATTCATGAGTAGCGTAAGTGGAATATGTATATAGGCTCTCAAGATGACTCCTTCAGAGAGGGCGACAGTGAAATAGCTAAGCTGAGAAATTTGAACTTTCAAGAAACAGACCATACTCCTGGGCAAAGTGATTGGCCTGTAGTTAATTCTCTCTAGTTATTCTTGCTTCACATCCTCCTGAGTTTCCTTAGAAATCATTCTCTTTCTATAGTGTCCATCTCTTCAAGTTCCTTTTATCTACCAAAGCAATTCTCCAATATTTTTTCACTTTTAAAAATGACTAATAAAATGTTATGACAGTATATAAAATATTCTTTTCCAAAGTATCTTTCAATCATGTATATCCTTCAGCAGCATATAGATTAATCATTCACATTGTGTTTTTCTGAGTAATTCTCCATGATCTGACACCATTCAGCTGCTAATGAGAAGCTTGCAAATATTTACCAGCCCTAAGCAAGGATGACACATCTTAACGATTGCTTGATTTCTCTCCAGGATGTAGTCAGACCTCTAAGAAACCTGATGGCTTTTCTCAGAAAGTTCTCACATATAACAAAATCTCATATTGCCCGAGCTAGAAGAAAAATTAGAAATCACCCTTTAAGAACCTTATTTTAGAGAAGAGAGAACAGGGTCCAAGATGCCAAGTGTTTTCCCAAGTAAGGACTAGAACTTGAGTCTTCTGATTCTCAGTTCAGCATCTTTGCCTGAGGTCACCACCTGAAGTGAAGTCAGTTTCACAAAGCTCCCGGGATGCAGGAGCTTTCTTATGTCACGTGTCACACCCTGGACTACACAGACCCCTAATTTAGCCTGAATAAAGTAAAACCTATCTCGTTTCCTATTTGCCTCCTTATTGAGAAAGAGCCGCAGAATTCTGGTGGGTTCAGATCCAACACATTTGCTTTAAAAGGCTGAAGTCACACTCTAGTTGATTTAATGGGGTCAAGTTAAGGGCAACAAGCCCTGTGCCTCTTTGACTTTGCCCATGCCATGCAGAGCTCATCTGCTGTACCATGATGACAGCCAAAGCAATGATCCAGCAGTGTGCCCTGTGTAGGAGGCACCTGGAGGAGCTCTGCCAGAATTTTCTCAACAAACCAAGAGCCCTGGCAATGCGATACTTCTCTGCCCTCCATATATTTACAAAATACTAGATTTTTAAAATTAATGACCATTAATGAGTTAGTGAGAGAGATATAGCATCTGACATCATCCAACCCTTTCATTAAAGTCAAGAAGAGCTTTGCAACTTTACCAAGATCGGATGCCAAGGATAGGGACAAGGGCCAGATGTATCTGCCCTGTCAGACTTCTCTCACCACCATGTCTTAAAAATGGCGGCAGTTTTTTAGAGCTCTTACTTTAATTCTCTAGCTATTAAAAAGAAAATGAAAAGGGAGCACAGTTCCAGGGAGCAGACTTAAATTCCTGACTCCTTGGATACAATGTTGTAGTTCTGAAAATCTCCAACTCTACCACTTTGTGTCGTTGGTACATTTCTTACCCTTTAAAGTCTTCCTCTCCCTTATCAATTCCATAGAGTGCTTCTTACCCCCTCATTTGCCTGATGCGGGAAGATACAGGTGGGTCCTTTGACATGTTTTTGATCTTCACATTCTTTTTTTTACCTTTTAAACTAATTTATATTTTGTATATTTAAGTTATACAACACAATATCACGAGACACATAGAACATAAAAAGATCACTGCAATGCAACTGGTTGACATGCCATCACTTCTCACTTTATCTGTTTGGTACTGTGCATATTAAATTATTAATTCTATTATCTGGATGGTAATACCACACATCCTTTGAAGCCTTTCACAGGATAAGAATGCAGTATTTTGAAATTACTGTTACTTACCATAGTTTCTTCAGAAAGAGTACCAATAATTTTTCACAGGATTAGAAATAGTGGACTTTAAAATTTTCATAAGCTACCTAATTAGAGACCAATATTGAAGAGAGGAAGCAAAGATAGTTATAAATTAGACATTCAAGTTATGGTTTAGATAGACCAAACAGAAATTTCTGAATTGTTCTTAGCTTAGAAATTGAAGATTATCAAAATCAATTCAAAATTTTCAACTCAGTGTAGTGTGGTTAAGGTGGAAGGTCATGGCCAGTGAATAACTGTCTTCTGAGCTTACTGATAAATTCTTTCTGGGTTCAAACCCAGGAAATTGTTCTCATTAGTAAGATAGTCTACATTCAAATGAAATGAATAAAGATGTCTAGACCCAAAATGCTGGTGGAAAGAAAATAAGGAGAAACAGAAATGAAATTAAGCAAGGAGGAAAGAGACACAGCCTGCACCACACACAGCAGCCACCACAAGGCAATGTAGCAAGGTGTTTAAGAGCAAGGGGACTGTGATCAGTGACCTTGGCTCAAACTCTGGCCCCACCAGTTCCTCAGGTGGATGGCAAGCTTTTCATGGCACATGGACTATTTAATCTTGTCAACAATGGACTCTATTTGAGGAAAAGAGATGTGAAGAAATTTTGAAAATGTTTTTGAGATATAATGTCATATTAAACTA